GTAAGCTCAAATCATCGCCTCTCGTCAAGAAATAACTACTGGGTCCCAAACGTAGTTGTATCTCTCGATCTTAAGGCAGCTCTGCAGATCGACAGGTTTAACGGCAGTATCCGCGATCGAATGACGTGACAAAGAAGTATATTAACATGTACAGACTATCCCAAAACACCGTTAATCGAATCACAGCTTACAGAAAACCGTCAACCTGGTATGATGTTCTTCACGGTTTTCTGCTTTCCCCATTTTTATTTAACTTCGTCATAGGTGAGAATCGTATCCCTAGAAGATTGCCAGAGTTTTCAGGAGCTGACGTCCCACCAACAGATTTAATTAATGACTTCGAATACGCGAGTGAAGATGCAGTCTATTGATCGCATTGCGTAAAAAGATTTTGAATGCATTCTTTTCTGTCCAAATGAAAGATACTGGTCTGTACGTGTCATTACCAAGGTTTGATTATTTATACTGATCTGTGTTGGTACCTGGAATAATAGCGCGTAAGTTAGGCGTGTATCGACCACTTCAATTATCTTGAAAGTTCTACCATGGTCCAGATATCTTGCAGACATTTTGATCATCGGTTATATATTGGTTAATTCTAATAGTGGGACATTATTTAGTTCTTACAATGCCTTAAACTGCTGAAAAGAGCATTCTTTTGTAAATGCGGGAGCGTAATGACTGCGAGTACAGAGTAACAAAGTAGTATGATATTTTGCCGCAATTTTCGTTAGCCCTGAAGCTGAAACATGAAAAGTAGTTCATATAAGTCTGTGTATAATCTTAATAAAGTTTTAAAAAATTCTGCTGGCCAATATTAGTGAGATGATATAGGCTAAGACTTAAGGATTAGGACGAATATGTGATGCTAAGGATTTGGGGTTAATGCTGGGATAGCAGTTGGAGTTGGAATTTAGGTAGATTGATCGTAAAACCTAATCCTGACTGTAACCTTAAAACCTAATCTTGAACCTTAAGTCCGTAACTAAGCTGTCTGAAAAACTATTTCTTTTAGCCAAAATTATAAGATTTCCATTTTAGTCCCAAATCGCAATGCTATCGCATTACAACTATGGACGCTAGTCATAAATTCTAATCTTAAGCATGAGTATCTAATGGTGCTTGCGTAGTCAAAACTGGTTATCTACGTTGAGCGATTTGATGTGACCCTGTTGCTGTCTGCATGTTTATTCTTGGCGCACACTCATGGTTCCACTTTGCTGAATCAAGTTATGAGTAGTATTCAGGTTAGCCTTCAAACTAATTTGGAACTAGGGTTCGGATTATGACACATAAACTAACGTTAATTCCCATGACTATACTCTGATCCTAACCCCAAACTATAATGATTAAAAGCTCGTAGCCAATCTATATAAGTTCGTTTAGAAATTCAAATCACAAAACCTAGTAAATCCTTCATTTCTTATTCTGACTAATTCACTCAAATCTACTTTTCTCCTAATGGCTTGAATTAGTCAGGGTCCAAAAGGACTATAATTTATAAACAGACCTAATATAATAGGTCTTGGGTCTTTACGTGAATTTCAGTAGTTTCCTTCAATGCAGAACATTGAAAATTGTCAGGAAACTCTGTTACCGCGAGCTCGAAGAGCTGTTCACAATACCAAAACATTCATACACCCAAACAAGAATTGCTAAGACTTCCAGGGAGACGGTCAGATCTAAGATAGTGTTAACTGAACTTCACGTGACGTTCAAGACAATTTATTATGGCCGATGAATTCATTGGGATTACACGTTAAGCGTAGTTGGTGTGATTCTAAACACAGTCAATCGTCTTTGTGTAGCTAAAAGATATTCACCCACTCTAAGCCCTACTTCTAAAACTTTTTAAAACCTAACACAGTGGGACTAAGTTAGCTGAAACTTTCGACTTAACACCTCTTGAATTTGCACGCTAAATTACTTTATCCATGCTGCCACAATTTATTCTTGCATTGTAGTTGGTGTTACTGCATGATGAAAACTCTGCGCATAGTTTCCAATCTAAACAATATAATCTATCTCTGCTTCTGATTCCGAATTATAGGTCTTTTCAATGATTAGTCATATCGAAACTTTATTTACTTCAGTTTCACTACCTTTCATTAGGAACTCCTTTATGACTAAATGGTTTTCTGATTGTCTGATAAATCGCTCAGCGTCTTCTCTTTTTCATTTATTTAAACACAAACATTGGTACAAGGAGGCACCAAATAAATCATTCGATTCGTGTGAGGGTTAGGATACTGCCAGGGTGTCCAAACCACAGCATGTGGTTTTCTTAGACGGCCACACCACGAGCCTTCGACCTAAAGGTCTGATCCACAAGGAAGTGGAGCAACCTAACGAGATGCAGTCCCATGGTAGCCGGCAACCGACGATAGGTTCATACGACATTTATTTTCTGGAGCTCATGTGCACCATTGGCTTGGAATCAGGGTTTTACAACTCATGTAGGTGGGACCTCCGAATCCAACAACCAGATTGAAGCGCTGGACAGTCGCGTTTCGTCCTCTCAATTTCGCAAACAACCTCGCCACGAGAAGGCAGTGAGTAGGCCACGTGCTTACAACCACTGCCAAGGAAGTCCCATTCACTGCATTTTTGTGGCGGGTGTGTTGTTTACGAAATTGAGAGGACGAAAAACGAATATCCAGACCTTTAACCAGGTTGAATACGGAGGATGCACCTCGGTAAATTGCAAAACCATGATTTCAAGCCAATGGTGCACATGAGCTCTAGAAAATAAATGTCGTATGAACCTATCGTTGGTTGCCGGCTACCATGGGACTGCATCTCGCGAGGTTGGTCGACTTCCTTGTGAATCAGACCTTTAGGTCGACGGCTCCGGGTGTGGCTCTCTAAGAAAACCACCTGCTTCGGTTTGGATACCCTGGCAGTATTCCAGCCTTTACACGATTCGAATGATTTATGTAGAGCGTATTTATTTGGTGCCTTCTTGTACTAATGTTTATGTGTTCAAATAAACAAGATTTTGAGTGTGAAAGATTACTCTCCAGTCTCCAATCACTGGCTACGACAGTCGAGCGGACCTCAACCAAATAGCCTGCATCTACCAACATGGCTCAGACCAGAAGTTGGTGACTTCATGGACTGATGCCACATTTTGGTTCGGCCGCCCCTAACTTCTAACCGTCTAAAACATCAGCCAGCATTGCGTGTCGTGGTAGTTCGGCATGCGTAATACGTGAATCGACCATCTCAACCGATGAAGATTCACAACTGCATCAACTGGTTTATCATAATTCCCTAATACTCTGCGTCTGATACAAGAAACAACACAATCTTTAGTCCATAGTACTGGGAATTTTTGTGTGGATTACGCCCAAAATATCTTATGGCTCAACTGCTGTACCTAAATTAGTCTAGAAATAGTTTACCTTACCACTTAAAACCTCTTGAACAAAAAGTTGACTCAATTGGTGCAACAGAAACAGTTATTTCAAAGAACCTTTTTTCATGGAGTATGTAATATTTCCAGGGCTAAAAACACTCAGTTATCCCAGTAATATCACATGGATAATGTTTCTGACTGTTTGCAAACTAAAGACAAGTTAGTGCATAGTGAATCTAACCTTTGCTTTGAGTCGTAAACAAACAAAACATTACTCTGTAACACCAATACAATTAGTTCTTTACACCCTCTGCAATACTTATCGTCTAATATTGATCAATTTAAAATTGTCCCGGAGTCCATATGCAATACTAATTAGGAATCACGGTTTCCCAGGTGAATCCTCTGTACCCACCAGCCCGGCGCAAGTGCGACTTTCGCTTTCGTCTGCCAATTTTGTAAACAACAACCCAACCGCGAGAAGGCAGTGAGGAATTTGCCGACAGTAGCTATATACGCGTGGTCATGAGGTCATTTTGAGAGGGAGAGTGGAATTCGTCGTACTTATTTGAAAAACGTCATTACCTATATTCACGATACTAATGTTACGGAAATTACAGAATATTATGCAGACTATAACAAGGCGTTGTGTAAATACATAGAACCCGGGAGAACAAAAAAGGCAGGAATAAAGCACAACTGCTTCTGTAGGATTACCCTGCCAAAGAAGTACAAAATTGACAGGAAGTTGTTCGTAATTTGGGCCACTAACGGTGAACATTAAAATAAATCCGGACTTTACAAATAAAATGGTTAAGTACCTCAGGCTACAAAAATCTGCGTTTTCGACAACAGAACAGTCAGTACAGTAACTTGACAAATTATTTAGATATGAGACTGTTAATTAGTAAACTCGAAACGTTTTATTATTAGAGAAAGAATCCAACGGTAACCAAGGAAAGAATTACTAACCACTGAACAAAAATCGAGTCGTGTATTTTGCTATTAATACTGTTATTAGACAATTTACAGCTGTTGTCACTGCAACTACAACAAAGGTTTAATATTACAGTTAACTTTTTGGTTCTCCAAGTAACTCTTGAACAGTACATTTGAGCTGTGCTAAACGCCATAATTTCTGGTGAATGTATTTATAGTGACAAAAATTTTAGCAGTTATGTTCCTAAGTCACATGTTACGTTAATTTAAACAAAATAGACCATACTTCTAGATCCTACTTCATTTGATTTAACGTACTGTCCTGAAGGACTCACTTAGAAGGTATAAGAAACGCTGTACAACCCGTCGCTCCCTACTCACTCATAACCTGGATTTCGTTTAAAAATTAAAGGCAAGCTAAACAGCCATGTAATAAAGTACATTTACATTGGAAGATTTCACATAAGGAAGATAAACAAGAAAGTAGTTTATAATCTTAATAATCATAAAAACTAACAATAGTAATTGCCCATTCCCAATTAATTGGTATTTAGCTGCAGCTAGCAGGTACCAACTTTAGTTATGCAAAAAGAAATTATCTCCCATTGGAGGCGACTGATATTAAATGAGTGAAGACACGTCAATGGTACAGGTATCACTAATTAGCGACAGCACATCACTGTGATGATATTCATCACGCTATCTATACACAACGGTCAGTCAAAATTTGGATATTGATCCGAAAAATGGATTAAGTGGATGCTGAAACAGTCTGTAATCACAGTTTATCTACAGTCTTAAGATTATTAAATGAGTTGCATTTTTTATTAATATAAAATAAATTACATGAATAATAAGTATTTAATCAAGATATTGAGCAAGCCAATTAAACGCTTCACCATACCCTTGCCGTTTTAATATACTGCACATGAACAGTTCAATAGGTCTCCAGTAGGTATTTGACTTTTATTAATGGTACCCTTTCCTGTTGTGATTCCCTGTAACCCCAAGAAATACCGCAATTCTTCCTCACTAGCTGCACCGGGTTTATCTATTTTGTTTCCGAGTATTAAAATAGGAGCGTGAGCTATCTGCTCATCCTGCAGGAGATTGTCCAACTCCTTCTTTGACTCCAAGAATCTTTAGTATGTACATGGAAATAATCCCAGTAACTAACCTGTTACGATCGTATGCATCTACCATAAAGACAAGGCCATCAACAGCTGGGATGTAATTTTTCCAAACGCGCCTTGCTTGTTCATGCCCACCAAGATCAAATGTCGTAAATCTCATCCCACCGATCGACAATTCTTCAGAAGTTGGATGAAGTGTTGGAACATGTTGAGCCATGCGATCATCTTTCAGACGATGCAGTAATGTTGTCTTCCCAGCATTATCTAGCCCTAAAAATACCAGCTTTCCGTTTTTTTGCCATAAGCCGAGATAACTCAGAACCTTTGACATAGAACCAGACAACCAGTCCCAAATAAAACTCATGATTTATACTAAATATATGAAGTGTTGTCGTAGATAGAGTACCGACATAATTTCTATTTACATCCGACACGGGGCTTTCAATGATACGAACAAACAATTAATAACCCTTACTAAGCAAATGGTAAGTTGATTGACTTGTATTATTTTCACAGTGAATTTTTTTCTTCAGGGTCCAGTATGTTTTTATAATTGATTAGAAATGAAAGTGTTTCCCCTCACTAGAATAAATTTCCAAATATTGATCAATTGATGCGAAAGAAGGATTCCTGTCTTTAGTTTTATCATCCGCGATTTGCGAACCGTTTTTAACGGGCTCAGAGGCTATTAATCTTAGCAAGAGGAGAAAACGAGATGTTACAGCACCTACTCAGTTCGCGATTCACAATCGTGATATAAGATCACTTACTGTCCTTGTAGGGTTAGTGAAATGTCACTGAGCCCTAGCCAAATCATCCGGAAGTCGTTTCACTGGATATTGAACAGTTCATCGACCTCCGTCAAAGTCAAGAGCGAACAACGCGCACCAGTCAATCATACGCCATGGACTGCTGTATGCAGTGGTGGTCACACTTTCGCTTGTACCTTCTCTAACTAACACATTTCCATCACAGTGCACTTTGTGCTATACAGTCCTCAAAGCAGTCACAGTACCTTGAAAAGTTGAAGGGATAATCCTTATTAGGTGCTGACCGTAATGTGTGAGTTAGAAGTTAGCCTCTGGTCATACCATTCCCGTCTAACTCGTGTAGGTCCCCAATCATTCGACAGAGATCGTCAACGTTGATGATCTACACTGGTGAGTAATACTTCGAATAACGCGACATATCATTGCATTCTATACTCATTCTTTTTCGTTTTTATCACCGCCTATGTTGATCAGTTGCTGTGGACATTCGTTGCTTCATATCAATGTTGATTAGTATTTAAACCTAAATAATTAGTTTTATCAACAGAACTAGCCAATCTGCCACGAGTATAACGGCTACTGTGGTTCTTTAACAAACATTATTAGCATTCAAGTGCTTCTGTGTAAAGTTCTTCTGTGTCTTAAAATATCAACCATTCATAAGTACAGCCGTAAGGCAACAAGAACGCACATCTGTTTGTAACTTATCCACTAGTATAGGCGAGACAAAATTAACTGTCAATTATAAATTCATCTTTTTGCTTTTTCACTATCAACAATCTTCCATCCGAAACTATCCACTGCAACATTTTACTTACTTGATCACTGCCTGCCTAATTCCCAATTTTTGAGTTCCACGGTCAAACAGAGGATATGAATGCTACAAACTTACATGGAGTCTGAACTACACATTTTCTGCAATCTTAGATCTCGTTTATCGTGTTAATCTGGCGACGCTACATATATGGCTTAAATCAATTTTGGACTTATCCAAATTCAGTCTACAACGCTGTGTTAATCCAAGAATTTAATCAACAGTACCTCGTATATAATTAGGATTCGAGCAACTGTCTACTTTAAATTTTGATTACTTGGAAGCGAGAGTAACTTAGGTGAGTTTCATAATTGCATTAGACAAATTTGTACTATGTTTATAATGCCTAATAACATTTCGTAGTAACTTTCATTTAGAAAGGTCATATATCTTGTCAGTTTTCTGAAGTTTTAGTCGAAATCATGTACATTTATAACCCGTAAGTAGACACTGTGGAAAAATATATTGCATGTATATGCGCAATCTTAGTCCATGTCCTGAATAGGTAGTTCGTCTTATTACCGTGCGTAATATGTTACTTAACGCTTCCTAATAATTTTTTTACACTGGTTGTTTACGAGATGGTCACGTTATCAGAACCCTTTAAACTTTAGTTGCACTGGTGGTTACCATTTTCACTAATGTTTTTATATGCTTTGTCTTTGCTGTTGTATCACACGGTCAATCAAAACTCGACTTCATTATTACGCCAAAGTCACTTTAATTCCGTTTTTGGTTTATTTACATGGAATGCAAGTTTGGGGAATGTTTAAAAGACCTCCGAAATTCTCCGTAAACCCCTTCATAGTCTTCGTACATGATTTTACTCACACATCCAATTATTATACTATTAATACCCAAAAGAAAGTTCACTGCAACTGTCGATATACATAAGAACGATGTTATTTCGATGTGACGTTATAACACATTGAAACTATTGTAATTATTCAACTTCGATGTTGTACTTCATTTTATGAAGTATTGTTTTCTCGTGGTTGTCACTAACAGAGGATTTCGGTATATCAATCGGCTGTTCAACTACTCGTCAATTTAAAACCTATCCAATTCCATTGGTGGTCGGATGACATTATCAATCGCACGAATCATCAGTTCACTCAGTCGAGTGAATCTCCTGCAAAATAAAACGACATGGTGGCCCTAACCCCAACACTGACAACGCTTTTCACGAGTATGATTGACACGAGTCCAGAGTGATACCCTTGGTTTCCTATTTTCGTTGCGATATTCTCCAGCTCACTTGTTGAACAAACATGCAATAATCACCGTTTATCATCACCATCATTAATTGCTTGGCAATCTTCAGCGCGCGACTACTCTCAACATGTTTGGTACCGATTCAAAAGGCCGATGAATCTGGTGGGGGATATTGTAGGGCCAGTGAAATGTCACTGGCCCTAGCAAAATGATCTGGCAGTTGTGTCACTGAATATCGAACACGTCATCGATTCCTCGATCATTTAACATAGATCATCTGTGTTGGTTATCTACATCTTGTCTTAGAGAGTGAAGGCAAAAGAGCTGCAATCACTCTTTGAAAGATAGAATGGGACGACCATTGAGCCATATTGCTCGTTGAACATGGTTAAAAGTGTCAACAAGGTAATAAAGATACGGACTAGTTGCTACGATCGAATACTCGATTTGAGGTCTCACGTTGGTGAGCATAAAATCCGGTATAATAATCGAAGCTTGAAGCTCAGTAGAACATTTTAGCAGTTGCCATATTGCAGCTTGCTGGCCTTTTTGGGTTAGGACGTACCATTTTACTCAAGTGTTTTTTTAAACTTTTTGGAAAACTTATGTAATTAACAACAGACCAGTGACTAGTACTATCAGTGCTCTTCATTTGAAAACATTCCCTGTGATGATTCCATAAACCCCAGCTTTGGAATCCTTCAAATCGCTTCGCAGCTGAAATACATCAGCATCGATTGTTTTCGTTTTTCTAACCATAACATTTGCGAATAATTATTCTGGATATTTGAAGAGACTTGGCAAGCTAAACAGCCATGTAATAAAGTACATTTACATTGGAAGATTTCACATAAGGAAGATAAACAAGAAAGTAGTTTATAATCTTAATAATCATAAAACTAACAATAGTAATTGCCCATTCCCAATTAATTGGTATTTAGCTGCAGCTAGCAGGTACCAACTTTAGTTATGCAAAAAAATTATCTCCCATTGGAGGTGACTGATATTAAATGAGTGAAGACACGTCAATGATACAGTTATCTCTGAATAGGAGGATACATTTCGTGGTTCTTCTTAGCGCATTTACGTCATTTACTTAGGTTTTGTCCTCGAACGTACTAGGATAATAGAATTTTCTATTGTCTCGGAAAATATTTTGCTTGTTATGCCTTCTACTATCGAGTTTTATTTTTTGCTTCAGTATTCTTCCTCTTACTTCATAACTTTCTCAAAATAAAAGCATTTACGCTTTTTTTCTGTCGCAAATTTTGATTAATACACCATATAGAAGTAATTGTTACATTAATTCTGGTGTTTTCTAAGTTTATATTATTCGTTGTAGTTGATAACATTTTTAATTCTGGTCTTGCACAATTTCTGCTGGCGATTACTTGACTCCGGTTACTGATTTTAGAACTTCTGTGTACTGTTTATTTTTTCCATACGTTTTCAGTAGCATATTTGTGATGCTATGAGGGATCTTTTTTTCCCAAAATTTTCCAATAATATGAGGTATTGAGTCCGTATAACTTCGTATTCCAGCGTGTTATGAAAAGTTGCGTTGGTGATTTAGTCTCATCTCAGAAGTCTAACTGGTTCACAAGTCAATTATCCGAGAATTTGCATTTCTGAGGCCTCTTCTTTGCGGCATTAATGTGTCAAATATATGAAGCAAACTGAGATTCATGGTAGGTTAAGTGTAAGCACCCTGTAGTACCCTGGTAGTACTGATTAACTATCCAGAGTGGTAATCACATTTTTTGTGTACTTAATTATTTTTCCTTTGTTATGTCTTACTCTTAACCTGTCTAGTTGACCTTTTAATTTTTCATATATAAATGTTCTTAACAAGTATATGTGTGATCAGATTGATCGAAATGTATTGCGCAAATATATCACATAATTCTGATAAACTACGTCTTCTCATTGCATTATTGAAATTTACCAAAGGTACTAATTGTTTTAAATTTCTGAAGGTAAGATTGTTAAAAAAGAACTTCGGAATATTCTGTTATGGCACAATCGCTTTCTTGTGTTTGATGTTATCTAGCTGTGAACAAATATTTCACTCAAATGGGCATTACGGGGTTAGTAAGACATTTAATAATATTTTAAAGGATCATAGGATGAGATGATTTTAAATACAACACCTGGGAATGACAAACACTATCCTTAAACATGCCAGTACGACACTAACATGCTTACACCTGTTACCCCTCATGGAGGAGTTGTAGAATTATGGTCTACTATGATATTAGTACTGCTCTAATAATAGACCTAATCCTAAATTTTGTAGATTTGTCATGATATAACTGCCTAATCTATAAGATCTTACGTGGAAGTCACATCATCGTCTACACCAACTCACTGTATTGTATCAATTACCAATACATGATGTAGAACAAGGTTAGGCTGGAGAAGGAACAATATATCTAATTTGAATAAAGGATATAAGGTAACATTCAGCAGAGACCACGCCTGCATGGCTAAGCCATGTCATCCGATTAACTTCAATTCATTCAATTCCTTGTTCGCGCCTTCCCCATCGTTAGGTATTTCTCCGCGTTAAATATTGAATATCTATTTTCCGAGTAGTCCCGTGTTCAGCTTTGAGGATTGTG